ATTGAACTCCATTGGTAATGACGATCAGCTCACAAATCCACAATTATTGGACTCATTGATCACTGACCAATAATCCATACGATGTTTCCAAGTTATAAAACTCCATGTCAAAAATTTAGTACTAGCTCAAACATTGACCCACAAAAGAATAAGACTTAAAAATAGCAATCGTCTTATTTCGATCAATTTTTGAACTGTTGCCGATGAAATAGAGCTTTCCAATGTAAATATTAGTCAAAAATATGTTTGTAAAGGAAGGTGTATATACATAAAAAGTGACGTTAAATCAATACGATTTTTGGTATACCGGGCTACAGTTCATTCGGCATTTGTTAAAGAAATATATAAATAAATATTTACATCTAGTTATCTAATCTCTTTCAATATCTTGGTGTATTACTTATTTGCTGCCTTTTCCTTTTGTAAACCTGCCCAATATTTTCCATAGTTTCTCCATATTATTCGATTGACGAGCGCATGGGATACGAGGATCATTTGTGTTGGCTCATAAAAGACAATGTATTTTAAATAACCTTCGCATAATTTGCAGCCCTTTGATTGTATGCTTGTGTGTATAGGGTGTAAATGTTCGCATAATTTTGTTTATGCATTTATGAGTAGCGTTGCTCGTTTCTACTTGTTTTTGACGTTTATTTACACCTTTTGTTTTTGTAGTTTTTATATCTCAGTCGTTTGTTTCAGGTCGTTTTTAATGGAGTTTCAGTGAAACTGAAACGTTTTTACGTTTAATGAACTTTTTGATAGTTTGCAAATTCCATTCAGTGGTTTCTCGGTGGGCTGTTTTTTGGTTTGATCTCATGGTTGATTTTCTGGTTATCCTAATGAAAATTATCTGTATCTAATTTTCGTCTCATCATTAGAATGCAATGTTATTTTTGGTCGTTTGACTCATAGTATTTTCTGTCGGTTTCACAGAATTTCGTCAATGTTTCTCATTTTCAAAACGTTTTTTGATTTTTATACTGCATCACTATCTATTTTACTTTGCACGTTATAGTCTACGGATGCTAAGGTTTGACACGATATTGAACAATGATGATATTGAACGTGATGGATATTGTGCTTGTTTTGCTTGTTACATGAATGAACTCTTGCTACTTCATTTCTCTTCTTCTCAATGAAAATCCATTGGCAAAGATATTTTTAACGTTTTTTGTAGTTTTTTTTAAGTTCAATATTTTTCAACTATAAATAGTTTAGTTCAACTGCATATCATTGAAAAGCAATTGTACTCGCAAACAACGTTTTAATCGATTCCTATTATTTTCAGTGTGAGTCCTCAAAATAGGAATCGCCTAATATAAAAGAAGTTTCGAGATAACGAAAAGTAATTCCACCTATGCTTGCCGGCTTCCAGACAATAACCACGATTTTAACATCAATAAACACAAATTTTCAAATTTTCCTTCAAACGACCAACAGGAAGTTATTCATCCACCATTGTTGAACCATAAAATGTCAATGATTAACATATTTACATATTGACTGTTTTCCTAAAAATAACAGTTCATCAATTGTGCTTTAGAATATACCTGTTTTGCCAAAATTATTCATTTTTTCTTATTGAGTTTTGACATGGCATTCAAATATTTCAACAGTTTTCTAGAAGTGATGTTGTATTGTTTCTAATTGATCATTGAAAATCTACCTGTTTTACCAGATTTGATCATTTATCCAATGAGTTTTGTCATAACCTACTGATATATAAAAAAATTGTAGGATAGTCTGAAACCCGTTTCAGATAAACATCATTGTGAGAATTATATAATTATCATCATGAATAGTGTTAATTATCTTCATCAAGTAACAAGTCATTTCTAATATTCATATGTCTAAATGATAAATATTTATAGTATGTTATTATCAGAAAAATATTTCCATGCCACGTTTTGTAGCCCGGTTTCCCAACCACATTTTTTGTGCCAGATCATCCAGACCCATTCCCCAACTTACACATAACTTATTAATAATTTGTGCTTGGTATAACATTTTTTATTATTTGGCAAAAGGATACAATAAGTTGTCTGCCAAACGAAGAAAATATTTTTAGATACAGTAATTTTACTGATATCAATTTCAGGAACAACTAGTGAAATGTTTGTTCCTGAAATGTATGGGAGACTGAAGAGGATATTGGGAGGTAATTTTGTGGATTAGTGACTCTATTGTGTCCAAAGTTCTTTATTCAAATACCTCCTGGTTGAGTGAATGCGAAATGATTTTCATAAATTTCATAAAACAAAGATAACCTATGCGTTATTTACCAGGTGTAGATATTATAGATCATGAATAAGAAATGCACTTGAAACTTTGATTCAATTTGATCAGGACCTCAATCCTTTCCAAGTCATACCTCTTGTTCATAATGCATACTTTGAGTTCTTCGATATTTTTATAGAAATATCCCTTCATTTTATATTCAGAATATACCTCGTATATAAATTCGTGCATGTTAGATAAATAATAGGCACAATACTTGTAGTATACCTCCTTTAGATATTAGTTTTTCCAATGTGGAAGAGTTAGTTATGAGAATTTTCTCTGATACTCATGCAACAGATAGTATTTAAAATTATCATGTAATAACTAAATAGCATAGGAGAATGATTAACGGTATTGAATTCTTTACAGAAAATTCCACAGACAAAGGTCTCATTCGAGATAATTTTTCAATCAAAGCTGATCCAGAGCTCTTCACTGTGTGTACCTAACTTTAATAATATTATATTATCCCTTTTGCAAAGTCTCAATTTTTCGAATGATACAGTTATCAATATTTGCAACCTTTTTTATCTTTCCAGGTAGACTCGATAGCCGTAATTTGCAGTTGTCATTTTTGAAAATAGGCCCAACTTTGTAAACTGTCAAGAAACGGTTTCCTAAAGTTGACATCAGTCAATTTACCTTAATGGTAAGAATTTCCATGGAATTTGCTTCACAGAATGATTAATTAGTGCACAACTTGATATCTATATAGGTTACCTTTGCTTTACCTCTTTCTACCTCTTCAAATTCGATTAGAATATCACAAACGGAACTTTTTACTTAATCAATCACGAGCCATTTTCTATTCCGTTTAATCCATTTGCAGTAGGTTTACTTTAAAGATTAAGGCAAATAGCTCAAATACAAAGAGCACTTGAGCAAAAATTATTTTTATGGGAATTCAATAGGCGAGTCGGACCTAATTAAGCTTAGTTGAAATATACAGATGCGCACATAAAGATTGTTTCTTTGATGGCACAAAATTTTAAACCAATTTGCTTAGAATGAACGTAGTTTCACCATTCTGAATTGATTGTATTCATTTTGATGTACTAAAACGTAGTACAATAAACATATATGTATATTTTTTCTATTACATCTGTCCATCAATTGAAAATTTTGTATTGGCAGAAAATCGCACAATGAAATTTTTTATTTGGCAAAAAGTGAAAAACGAACAAGATCACTGGGTTATCTATATGTACGAGTGCAAAATTTTTAGTTAGAAGTACAGATTACTTTCATTATAATTATTTCGATTTATCAAGGAAGCCACAGCAGAGATGATTACGTTTTTATCATCAACCGGGAAATCAATGAAATTCCAAGTACAGAATTTTGTGAATTCTGATGATGATGATGATCATTGATTTGAACTGATTGATGGGGAAACAGCCGATAAACTTGTTATTCAAATTTGTATGTGGTCCAACTGTAGAACTTAAGTANCATGTACAATTTTCATAAAAACACCTGAATTCAGATACGTTTCTCTATTACTAACTTACAAATTTTGAATATCTCTACCTATATCCAAATAACTTAATTTTCTAAAAGCATCATCGAATAATCTTATCTGAAAAAAAATTATTTTCCTCTATTTTTCAAACATTTCCTTAAATTGGATCAGTCCTAAATACTTTCTTTTATCTCTTCACATTTCTTCTACCAGATATGTTTAAATATCTGGTTAATACTAATTTCCAAGTTCTATCCATGTTAGTTTTTTGAAAAATAATTAATTTCATTCCTCAATTTTGAAATTGACATTTCTGTCGTTTGTCACGTGGTTTATGATCTCAGAAATTCCTTTTGACCGTATACGAATTGGTCAAAAGTTCAAAATTTTTAGAGTTTTACTGAGTTGTAGTGAACTTTCCTTCATTTTATTTCCTCTAGGTCTATATCATTACACATAATTGACAAGACACATGTGCCTTGTCAATTATGACCGACAACCTATTGAGTTCATTTTCTGATACTTAATTACATTTTATTATTTTTGCAATCATCTCTCTCATTTCATCATAAAAATAGTATATAATGTTATGTTTTCAACTAATTTTAATCTTTACATACAAATATGAGGATCCTCTTTGTTACTTTTTTGCAAACTTCATTTTCGTAAGTATGAACACGTTGTCCATACCCTCGTTTATTCAATGATTATTGTAGAGTTATTGATAAAGTGACAATAAAAGCTTCGAAACCTTGAACAGAAAAAAGAGTTTTACAATCTTTCTGCCTCTGACTGCTACATCCGATTTCAGTCCCTGCGTATATGGCGAATTCAAATGTGAATTTCAAACTGTAAATTTCAAACTGAGAATTTCATAATTATGAATTTCAAATTGAGAATTGTAAACCATGAGAACAATAACTGTCTTCACAAACTTTTTACTGCATCTGTGTAAGTAATATAAGCATGAGTGCCAGTAGGTACTTAATGAACTTGTTGATCTATCTATCTTTCTATATATTGAGTTATTGTTAGTCTGACGTTTTTGGCATCGACTGTAAAGCCATTTAAAAGAAGCTACCACCACCTACTCCACAGGTAGTGACACGCTGCAAAAGTTTTCTAACTTGATGCTGGGGCTTCAATCTACCTGTTCCCAAGCGTCAACTGTTGTATTATATTCTGTGTCAAAACTATTTTCCAGGTGTATTGGCCGTGATACTGCAGTATCTTTTTTAAGGGCAAAATTTTTAGTTAGAAGTAGAGATTACTTTCATCATAAATATTTCGATTTATCAAGGAAGCCACAGCTGAGATGATTACGTTTTTATCATCAACCGGGAAATCAATGAAATTCCAAGTACAGAATTTTGTGAATTCTGATGATGATGATGATCATTGATTTGAACTGATTGATGGGGAAACAGCCGATAAACTTGTTATTCAAATTTGTATGTGGTCCAACTGTAGAACTTAAGTATAGAACTATTAGTGAGAAAATTTGCGGAATTCAAGAAAAATAATATAAGATTCCATTAATGAAAATGAATCTGAAAGATATGTGTAATGGCTATGACTGAACGAGTATGTGCCATCTTGATATCTGCTCCTGTTGATACTCTTTCATGTCCATCCAGTGTGCCAGTTCTTCGGCTCCGCTGGAGTTCAAGCCCAGGCTGAACCAGCCTACCATTTCCTTTCTTTTAGTCACGCCTTTTCTGTTGTATACCGACACCATTAGTGTTACGTCCGCTAGTTGAAACAACGCCACCTGAGAGCAGGAATGAGAAAGTTAGTGATACAAATTAGTAGTTTTCCTAATAAGAAAAGAAAAACGAAATAATTATCATGAAAAATTTGCATAATATGTTACAATGAAATAAAAAAAAATTGATATGTGTATTAGGTCAATAACTATCACTATTACCTGAACCCAAATTTAAAATTCTTCAAACGAAAAAATCGAGCTATCAAATTGAATTCCAATATCACACCGAACTTATATATATTCAAATATATTCTTTTGGTGAGATAATTTTTGTTGATTATAAAAAATAATGATATGATTCATATATTTTTTATTTAATATGAATTTATAATCAATGGGGGAAATGATGTGAGTGTTTATGTTNGCCAAACTTAATGTTTCGTGTCAATCATGTCTGACTACCTGTTGAGTTCAATTTTCAAATTCATTATTTCATATTATTCGTGCAATCATCTCACATTATTGCAAAATTCTGAATGAATATTACATGTTTTTAACCAATTTTAATCTTGACATACATATATGAGGATCCTCTTTGTTACTTATGTGTTAACTTCATTTTAACCTCACTTTCGTAAGTATGAACACGTTGTCCATAACCGTTTGTTTATTCAATAATTATTGTAGAGTTCCCGATGAAGAGACAATAAACGCTTCGAAAGCTTGAACAGAAAAAAAAGTTTTACAATCTTTCTGCCTCTGACTGCTACTTCCGATTTCAGTCCCTGCGTGTATGGCGAATTCAAATGTGAATTTCAAACTGTAAATTTCAAACTGAGAATTTCATATTTATGAATTTCAGATTGAGAATTGTAAACCATGAGAAGAATAACTGTCTTCACAAACTTTTTACTGCATCTGTTTAAGTAATATAAGCATAAGTGCCAGTAGGTACTTAATGAACTTGTTGATCTATCTATCTTTATATATATTGAGTTATTATCAGTCCGACGTTTTTGGCATCGACTTTAAAGCCATTTAAAAGAAGCTACCACCACCTACTCCACAGGTAGTGACACGCTGCAAAAGTTTTCTAACTTGATGCTGGGGCTTCAATCTACCTGTTCCCAAGCGTCAACTGTTGTATTATATTCTGTGTCAACACTATTTTCCAGGTGTATTGGCCGTGATACTACAGTATCTTTTTTAGGGATAACCAAAACACTTTATTCGTTAGCTCATCACCTTTGGGGCCTTTCAAATATTACGCCAGTATATTTACTACAGTTACGAGTATTTACCCCCCCCCACCATGCTTACGTTAACATTGTAATAAGTATGCATTTTTTTTTCAATGTATTCTGTTTTTTCATTGATTCACGAGCAGCAGTTATAATTCTAGAAATGAGAAAATAGATTTAGGATAGACGACTTTGACGCACATAATATTCATTTGAATGAACTTTATTGACACGGTATTTAACAAAGAGTAAGGAAGAAATATTATAATCTCGAGTAACATTAGAAACAGATTTTTTTTTATGGTATACACATTAATTCCAATTAACAGTCTTCAATTCATGACACCTGAATCCATGACTCTAAGTTTTCAATGACATTGGATGTTTGCTGTTCAATGTTGTGTGCCTGCTCTCTTTCATCCGATTGGATTTATTCTCAGACGCAGCATCCAATTCTTCTTTAATTCTTCAATTTTTTAAAACTTTCGAACAATTTCTGGTATATCTTGGATTTGTCTATTTGAAACGACATCTTGATTAAACAATTCAACCTCGGTGAGAGTGAATCATCGGTAACATAAACATCAACGTGCTTTGCTTTACTTACAATACGTTAAGTCGTCAATCGTATCGAAACGAAATAGATTGAGAAGAAATTTAGACAAGTGAAAGCGCGGGGTAATTCTCCTACTCGACTCTATGCGAGTGCCTCAACGTAGACATTATTTGTGGGAATACCAAAAAATGTGTTGCCATATTTGTAAAAAAGTAAATAACCACTGCTGAAGTAATCACCATCTAGAACCACCCGCCCCACATGTCACTAAAAATAAACAAAGCAAAGACCCCCGACTCCTTATAGTGCTTACGTAATACTTGAACGGCCCCTTTGATATAAATATGGAGAAATAGAAAGCCAAAACCTTCCTTTCCCAAAAACTAATCTCTCTTAAAAATATACTTCTTTTCAATTCGAATGTGTAAGTTTTGTCCCTTGATTTTTTCTTCTCATGTACGGTGTATTGAGTTTTTGAAATAATATTGTGACCATTGGAAGTTCGAACAATGTTAGTCTCACCTGGAAAACGAATGTTTCTTTGAAAAGAGGGTTAGGTTGGCCTCTTCTGACAGTTGTTTTTCCTTGGGCTAGTTCTTGTCCAGTACTGCTGACTAAATTAAGTTTGACGTAAGTATCTGGAGGTCGATTCACTGCCAAGTTCCGCAAAAGATAGCTGAAAAAAATTTACATTTATTTACGGAAATGTTGTCGCTAGTATAAAGGTGGGAATCTTGCACCTAATACCTCGTCAACGGCAAATCAGCTGGAATCTCTTAAGGGGGTTATTTTGTCGGCTGTGGAGGTTATTCCAGATGATGGGCCACAGGTACAATTACAGAGCTGCGTCTTTCGGCCTGGATGATCACAGGTCGTCTGTGAGGATCAGGTAAGCGTAAGCTGCAGTCTGGAAATGACCTCTTACTTTATGCCTCCAACTGTTAACTACGAACTGCCTTATAAAGTACTGTTCCCGAGTAGAGACAACTGGATCCTCCAGGAAAAGGAATTATTGAGAGCAAATAGAAAGTTGTTGGTTCCTCCGGAAGAAGGAATCATCAAGAGCAGATAGTTGTTGGTTCACAGATGGATCAAAAACACCTTCCGGTTCTGGTGCAGGTGTTTTCAGTCGCAGACTCAGGAGAGAGATATCTACCTGCCTAGGAACTCATGCGACTGTATTTCAAGCGAAAATTTACGCTATTGAATTTTGTGCGGAGATATTGGATAAATTCAACCTCACACACAAATCAATATAAATATTCTCGGAGAGTGAAGCGGCGTTGGTAGCTTTTGGCTCCTACCGAGCAACATCTGAATTGGTAAAAAGACTCTCCCGGATAGGAAGACTTGACAGATTGTCTCTGGTCTGGATTCCTGGCTATACTGGCCTGGAAGGCAATGAAGCTGCTGAATCCCTTGCAAAGGAGGGTGCTGCAAGCGGCTTCATCGGACCAAAACCTGTCATTGGCATCGCCTTAGCTTTGCCAAAAAAACATTGAACACCTGGATGACAAGAAGATTTTTGGACTTCTGGCAGAATCTCCCAGGATTGGCTCACTTCAAGGCGTTTACTTACCCTTCGAAGGTTGATACCAAATAGTTGTTGGACTACAGTAGGGATGAACTACGATGTCTAACAGACCTTGTAACTGGTCACTGTCATCTGAATCATCATATGCAGATACTTGGAGTATTGGAAAACAGTGTGTGTCACCTCTGTTTGGAAAATGATGAAACAACAGAGCATATGAATCAAGTTCTTGAGTTCGGCAGAGCCGTACTTTTACCATCTGACCTGAAAGACCACTCACCATACAAACTAATCGGCTTCGTTAAGAAGCTGGGTTTATTTGGCCGAGTGTGAATAGGTGTGAGCCACAATAATCCCTTGCGGGTTGCGGTGGAACGTCACACTCACTTTAGACCTAACCTAACCTAACCTGAATGGCACTCCAAAAAAATATCGATTGTTGATTTTTTTTTCATTGATTTTATTTGGAAACAATAATTTTTTGTCAGTTATTCATATTTGTTTGAATTCACTCTTTATTTTAGAATTGTTCACGTTTATGCAAGATATTTCACAGATGTTAATCTCGCGGATGTTTCTCGTTCATCCAGCAGTAGGACGTTGCTAAAATCAATCGAGTGGATCACCTACAGACCAGTTCCGAGGTATTACCTTCCATCAGTACAGGAAAGATCCGACTCCAACAGCAGTGAGGAAAGCACAAGTGAGCAAGAAATAACCCATGTTCTCGTAAATGCCTGCCAGATGACAACTACTTCCCCGGCTAATACCACGCTGGATATTGAATTATATCTGACATATATTATTGCAAGATACCTCACCGAGGTTAGTCTCGCAGATATTTCTCGTTCATCCAGCAGAGATCATCCACAGACCGGTTTTGAGGTATTACCTGTCATCAGTGCAGGAAAAATTCGATGCAAACAACAGTGTGCTTGGGACTTGAATAATTTCAAGGCGGCTCCACTGCATTTATGAAAAATTGGTCTAAGAGATAGATTATTAACTAGTAACAGCTCTATCTCGTGAACAAAGCCCTAAGCGGGGAAAAACATCTCATGTATCAATTTCCTGACAGAAATTAAAATGGGTTCGAACACTGTATTGAGGAGAGACACATACATTATAGAAAAATAATCATTTAAAATGAAATTTCTGGAATTTCAACTCTCTCAAAGTACCATCACAGTAGGTTCTGGCAAAAGCCTACCGGAAAACAAATACTTCCCCGGCTAGTACCACCCTGAACATTGAATTACAGTATTTCAGTTTTGTTACAGCTATGTTCACTAATAATTTCATTATTTCAATCTTAGTATAACTCTTGCAAAGCTGTATTCATTTCTGAATCTCCCTGGAATATTTTCAGTACCACATTTAGATGAACAAAGTAGCAGCCTGCAATCGTGGAAAGGGGGTACCATTCAACAAGTTTCTATAATCAGAAGTGAGTTCCTGAAATAGATCACTTTTGAGTGGGCGTGTCTCCAATACTAGAGCACCAAGTGTACACTTCATATTCGTGATCACCGGAAAACATCCCTATCAAGTATTTTTGTCAAACAAGCGCGAGAAAGTGACGCGAAATTGCAATTAATAAAATTTCTGAAATATCTATTCGAACATATGGTGATGTTCAATTCGTATAAAATAATTTCATTTTTGAAGAACCTAGATAGATAACAGAGAAAATAAAAAATGTGTTCTTGCTGAAAAGGAATGAAACAACTGTAATGAGGATAGGCTAGGTTTGATCCAAAGTGAGATGGTTTATTTGGCCGACCACTATAACCCTCATAGGTAGATGAAATGAGAATAATCATAAACCTAAGACATTCCAAATATTAACGGATCGACGGTTTTGTTTCGCCATTCACACTCAATCACTATTATTACCTGAAATGGGACCCCTTGATGACTTCAACACTGAGCCTACCAGTGGTTGCATTATAACAAAGACCTAAAAGTAGTTCGGGCACACCGCCATGTTGCATCGAATGCGCTGAACCGGTACTGTCGGACCTCGCTAAGCTCAAAAGGTCACCTGTGCAGCCTCCTAACTGCAAAACAATGAAATATTGATTATAAATTTTATATCATCTCATCATATGTACTCACTATTGTGTTCGATCTTGGCTCGAGGTTCAGCCAGAAGTTATTATCTAATTCTAAATTGATGTTCGCGAAGCTTACAACAGCTTCTCCTATGAGTCTTTCTCTACGCATTCTTTCACAGCCGTATAGTCTCAATCGCACTCCCATGGAATTCACATCCTCTGAAAATAAAGTGAAAGTATCGTGATACCACCAATACTTACGAATATGGAGTTGGAATGAGATATTTCTGGAAAATACCTTTTTGGCTTTCTTTTTGTTAATTTTTATATAAAAAATTTGGAAAACTTCAGAAGAAAGGAAAAAAAAGTTCATACTGAACTTTTTACGAAGATGTGTATGTACCAGCTCATTCTGAAACTTTGAAATACGGCAATGAAGATGATAGTGTTCCATGTAAGTGGAATATCATATCGTAATTCCTTTATAATTTATGTGTATCGTTCCTAAGAATGATATCTGTTTCAATGCAATAATGAGTGTTTGTAGTGTTATTTTCGTATATTTCAATGTTTTTTCGGAAGTATTCATTTTTTCGTGGAATTCAATATTCATGTGGTTTCTTTCCCATTTTTTATCTGAAAGTGATTTCCATGCATTATTAAATATCTTCTTGGAAAATTAACTTTGAACTTTTTTTGAATTTCTACGGAATTTTCCCATATTATTGGTATAAAAATGGAGAAGTTGAAAGCAAAAAGTTTTATTTCTCTCAAAAACTAATTTCTCATAAGAAAAAATACCTCTTTCATTTTTAATGACTGAGTAGTTCCTCTTGTAACGTCATTTTAAAATGTTTTGATGAGGTAATGAGATTGGTGTCTTATTTCGAAGTACGGCAGTGGCTATGATAGTGCCCCATCTTAGTGAAATTCTATATCGTAACTTTTTCATACATAAATTTGGGTAGCATTCCTATGAATGATATCTTTTCCAATTTCATTTACAATTAGGCAAAGTAAAAATAAAAAATCGTTTGGATTCTTAGTATCCACAATCTGGATAATAACTGGCTTATTCCTGATACTTCAGGGTATATAGCCCTTTTTCCTCCCGATTTTCTGGTTCAGTCAACCGTATCCAGTTGTTTCGTTTGGAAAAAGTTGTCCGTACGTTGCAAATTTACAAACTAGCCTTAATGAGTATATATGGTTCTTGAATATGTACGCACTTCCAATGAAGTGACTAGTTGATGTGAACTGTTAGATGTAGTTTCATCATAGATTTCATGAATCTCATATTCTTCATTTTCTGCATCAGCTTTGTGAAAAACTTGAACCGAAATAACTATATCCGAATTCATTAAGTCCGGTGATCGTGATGGCCAATAATCTTATCAATTTTGTCCCATCACTTTGCCCCTAAACATCTGACTGAGAAACTGTTTCACAGTTATTCCACAAATTTCATCTAATAGTTAGAGGCAGATTAACCAAAACTTCAGACAACTGTACATGTCTGCGTTCAAATTTTCTCTGAAAAAATATTTGTCTAGAATGAATATTGGTCACAGCTGACTATTATAAAATTCGGATTATTGTCGGACCACCAGCGACAACTTTGGGAAACCAACTATTTCGTTCGACGTGAAAGTGGCCTCGTCTGTCAATAAAATCCTGTAGGGATATTTGATATTATTTTCTCTCTCACCTTATACCAAAATGAAAATCCTACTCGAATATCAAAATATTCCTATTCAAAAGTGTGTACAAACTTTAGTTTAAAGAGAGTGAATTTATTCATGTGCCAAATTATTTTCACAGTTTCTCTGCCAACCCCTTTATTTTTACAACACTCACAGTATGATTTTCTGACAAACAAACATTAAGTACGTCAGAATGTTCTTCACAAGCACGCTCGTTAAGAATATACACCAACCGATGTACATATTAAACGAAGAATTGCCACATGCAATTGTGGCCCTCAGCAAGCAAAAATTTGAATTTTTGCCTACGGTAGTCTCAACGAGCGTGCTAGTGAAAAACATCCAGAGCATCCATGTCTCAGTCCAAATAGTTATTGGCGAAAATGATGAAGAGGATCAGTGAAAATCTCCCAGCTCTAATTTAAAAGACACATGTCGGCGCCCTGACGAGTTCAAACATCAAAGAGACGAAACGTGTATGGTAAGAGTTTAGGTAGTTGGAGGTATCTCTTATCTTTGCGTTGTTGTTTTGAAAGTATTACCATATGAGAAGGGTAATACTACTACTACTACTACTACTACTACTATACTACTACTACTACTATACTACTACTACTACTCTACTACTAGTACTACTGCTAATACTAGAAAACAAAAACCACGGTCAAGTCAATACACAAGTTGGAAATTGAGCTGGGTCTCTTTCTATGTGTAGAGGTAGAAGTGTAATGACCGCTACGACAGCAGCTGGTCAATGCTGAGGTAAAGGTGTACTGAGGTACAGTATGACCTTGCTTTAGTTCATATCGGAGAACCCGATGGTTAGACATGAAGGTAGTTCTATACGGTGCCGGTGAATGTGGGATCATAACTGGGCCTCTGGTCCACTCATGTGGTGTAATTGGGGGGTTATCAAGTGTTGGCTTCTGAACGGGCAGAACGAGGTTTTGGGTGAGTTTATTTGTTGTTAGAGCATGTTTAGTAGTGCACAACTGCGGCGTCATCAAGTGAGACAAAACTGTCTACCCGTATTAGGAATCACATATTGATAGGTAAGACCCCGTTAGTTCTTAGATCGCAAAAATTTCGACTTCTGAGGGTTTTCGTTCATAGGGGTGCGACAGCTGGTTAACAGAAAAACATATTTCAAATATTTTTCTAACATATCATATTAATGGTAACCGTCGCAAGAATGACGAAAAGTGTTCATATATAGGGTTTCATCTTACACAGAGTACTTTTGAGACTTGACTGGTCCTCGACGCTACACCAAGCGATGTAAACATTGAATTGTTCTTCATTATACCTTATTGGGTCATCTGGTTTCTTGAAACGATTCTCCATATCATCAGTTTTTTTGTATGTTTTGAATATTCCTTCCACGGCACTATAGTACATATTTCTTACCGGATGCTGGTGAATAAAATTATAAGCAACATTCTCATGACATAAAAGAACAATATCCACTTTGTGTGTAGATAACGCAATAATTTGGCATTAACCAACACTTGGGTCATCTGGTTTCTTGAAACGATTCTCCATATTATCAGTTATTTTGTATGTTTTGAATATCCCTTTCCACGGCACTATAGTACATATTTCTTACCGGATGCTGGTGAATAAAATTATAAGCAACATTCTCATGACATAAAAGAACAATATTCACTTTGTGTGTAGATAACGCAATAATTTGGCATTAACCAACACAAAAAATATGTTTCAAGACCCTTCTGAAGAGAAATTCCCATTGCTATTTGATTCATTGTTTTATTTTTTTTCTGAAATGTGGCATCAGTCTTGTATTGTTTGAAATCACGAAATTTTATAACGTTTGGTCCCAATCGCTTCGAATGTAGGCCATTTTTAGGTTTATACCTGAATTTTTGGTCAGAAAATAATCAAACTGGATAAAAATTCTCAATAAAAAGAATAACGAAAATGATATAAATAAAAAGGAACTAATTTACCTACTCCATTGTTGACGTATCAACTTCCTTACCTTCAAATTGTGAATTACAACATTAAAGGCTAATTTCTGTAGGTGTATTAAATTTTTTTTGATAACAGGCAAATATGACTGTTTTTCTGAGCAAGATATGACATCAAAGTCTCGTATTCATGAAAATTATGAAATTTGGATCATGTTTCGTTCGAATCGTAAAGTGAAATATTTGAAAAATGAAAAAAATAGGAAAATGATCGAAGTGATAGAGAGTCCAAAATTAAAGAAAAGGTTAGAATTTTGGCTGAGCCATTTTAACTTTGACATATTTTGAAATTTACAAGAAAACCGGATTTTTAGAGCTTTTTGAAAAAAATGCCAAATTTGACAGGTGGCACATAACAGAAAGGAAGAGGCTGCTTTTCACTTATTCCTTAAACACGAATTCACTACGGAATCAAATTCTGAATAGATCTATCAATTTAAAAAATAGCGAGTGTGCTCCAGATAACACGACTGAAGTAAAACTTCTTTAGCTCCATTTATATGTATAATTTGTATAATATATGTATATGTATAATAAAGACATGTATATGCATATACATTAGGGTGTTTCATTAAAATGGTGATATTTTTTTTTGAGTGATTCGATGAAACGCAGGAACTCACCTGGGTTAACTCTATGTAGAACAAAACTCTCCATGTACTGTGGATTTTCACCCGATCTTATTTTGGTTTTGTGCTTTTGTTTTTTGCTCGGTAGTAGTATCAATCTCACCTAAAAAGAAGAATGTGTTACAGCATACCACTCTCACCGGAAACAAATTCATTCATTATCTTGACGAATCAACACTTCCGTTTGTATTTTCAGAAAAAACATGATCGGACATTGTACAGGGGGATTCTTTATCTAGGCATAATATACGTATTCCGTAATGGGCAGCGATTTAAAAAGTTATATACATAATAACATAAAGAAGCAGATTCATACCATAAAACATCTTGAATATAAAAAAGAATACTAATCTAATAAATGCTCGAAGATACCTTCTATTTCACAAGTATTTATCGCCTCTCTTAGAGAGAAAGTTGGTAATTGCTTTTCGTATATCAAAAAAATCAACGAATCCAGTGGGACTCCCACCTTTGAAGTATTATTGGTATTTACTGGATGGATATAGACTTTGTCTCTGATAAAATCCCCCAAAAATAATCCGCTATTGAGTCTGGCAGACGAAAAGGCAAGAGATTAGACATTTGATAGTCAACAAATGTTTCCTTGAAACATCATTTACACAATTCTATCGATATCAATCTCCCAGCACATTATGTAGTGTCCTTTGGTATTTAATATGTCGTACTATCAAATTATTCTCATAGACATGGAGACATAACATTTGACTATTTCTGAGAAGAAGGTAACATTATTGATTACGTTACTTTATGACAATATTATGTAGACTTTTAGTATTCAAAATACGTTGAAGCTCCAAAAAGTTATAAACCCTATCAGACGAGAACGGGAGTTTCCAATCCAACAGTGACTGTTTTGTCGATTAAACTATCTATTCTAGAAAACAATAATTAGCAGTGTCTTGTTGACTGCGGCCAAATAAATAAAGCCTAAGTCAATTCTCATTTCAGCTTCCTGGAATTGTTTTTTTAACTGTAGGAAATCAAATGGAAAATATCACAGTTTCTCAAAGAATCATTATAAAAAATGAGGTTTCTATTAAAAAAGAGTTATTTTTTCAAATGAATGAATGAAACTTCCAAAATATTAAATAGAATAGAGTTAGAATATTTTTTCCAGCTAGTGAAATTTCTGAATTGAAAGAACGATACATAATAGACATGAAAAATTCTAAAAAAATCACAGTAATGAAAGTTACAAATAATAAGGAAGTTGTTTTCATCTTCAGGCATGATAGAAAAAAGGTGCGTTTAGAGAAAACTCATTATTTACTGAGAAGTTTACGAGGACCGGCCTCGGACCGGCGATAATTATAATATATTGTACCTACAAGACTCTGACCGAAGAATATGAAGATGAAACGATGTTAGCGGATAGTTATTTACAAAAAAAATCTGATTTCAAGCCATTGCGAAGTGAATCGGTTAGAAATTTTGATGTATTTCTAGAAAGATTTGATGTAGCGGTCTCGGCACTGAAAAATTGAATTTACCAGATTTGGCAGATTTCATGTTGGTGTATCAGGCTTTGTCTAAATTATATCATAATTCTGTTAGGGTTTTTGAAATGAAACAAGATACTTCCAAAATTCCAACTTATCAATAAAATCTTTCGTGGTGACTCAATATAAAAGGGATGGAACGATATGCGTTTTCTGCCAGAAAACAGTTATTACTCAGGTAGAGGTGGTGAATTCAAATCCTTGTCAGCGGGACAAAGATATGAAGCTGTTAAAGACAATGGCTGGTGCTACAATTGTTTGTCAAATAAGCACAGTGTAAAAATTGTTCTAACGAGCGATTGTGTATTTTGTGTTTCAAGAAACATCTCATTTTGCTTCATTTGGGAAAAACAAATTTAGTTAGTGGATCGAATGGGGATGTGGCCTCAGGATTCAACAGTGGGGGGAAACGGTTAGTAATGATACATCAACGGTTGAAGTGCATTTGTGTTCTGAACGGTATCTTTAAAGGATGATTCAAACTATACAATTTTGCTTTCGTCTTTGGTGGTTTTCGTGGAAACAAGTTTGATTGCAAATGCTATGGCTGGATCTATTTTAGATTCGGGTAGTGAAGCCAATTCACTGACAATCGGGTTGGACTTGAAGATTTCGAAAAATTATTCTTCGGTTTACGGTTTAATGTGTTGTAGTTCTGTTGTTAAGGAACAGAGCTTGTTTTGGACTCATTCTTCCTAATTAAGAAAAATCGGATACCGAGTGTATGAGGATATTATATTTTGACATTTATTTATTCATTTATTCAACATATGAACGCATAACCCTCATTTTCGAAATGAAACTCTTTTATATATGAACATACAACATGACAAATTATTTCAGCGTCTATGTAGTAATCAAAACATATTAATTGTAAATGGTACTCCTTTCCTTGACCTTCTTTCCCTAGCTACTCGTGGGATTTTCATGGACAGAGTAAATTGAAATTCTTCTTCTAACACTGAGTCTACAGAGGAGATGGATGTCGAGCTCATGTCTCCAACTGACCTCCCTGTAAGTTAAGATCAAGAGCGAGAGCTTCTCAGCTCTCCAACTTCTGCTCAAAATCTGAACCTAAAAAAAGGCTTAGTGTTGCAGCCATGAAACGACTGAGTTGTCTCCTCAAGAGCGCAGTACCGTATGAAACCGCCTTGCAGCAAATTCTTGAGCGGCGTACGCAGAATCTGTCTCAGGTGGAGGAACAAACCCCCATGAGCAGGTTAGCAAACGTTCGCGCTAAAGTGATGATTCACCGAAACCAGAGGCGAAAAAGCCCTGCACCGTTGAATCTCTGGCATCGTCAGATGTACCTGAAGTGCAAAAACCCTCATACGGAAATGTTGTCGCTAGTATCAAGGTGGGAATCTTGCACCTACTACCTCATCAACGGCAAATCAGATGGAATCTCTTAAGGGGGTTATTTTGTCGGCTGTGGAGGTTATTCCAGATGCTGGGCCACAGGTACAATTACAGAGCTGCGTCTTTCGGCCTGGATGATCACAGGTCGTCTGTGAGGATCAGGTGAGCGTCGACTGTCTTCTGCTCCCAAGACGAGGTAGCCATCCAAATTCCCCTATCGGGCAAGAAGGGCAAGACGAATATTATGGCCTGCTGCAGTCTGAAAATGACCTCTTACTTTATGCCTCCAACTGTCAACTACGAACTGCCTTATAAAGTACTGTTCCCGAGTAGAGACAACTGGATCCTCCAGGAAAAGGAATTATTGAGAGCAAATAGATAGTTGTTGGTTCCTCCGGGAGAAGAAATTATCAAGAGCAGATAGTTGTTGGTTCACAGATGGATCAAAAACACCTTCCGGTTCTGGTGCAGGTGTTTTCAGTCGCAGACTCAGGAGAGAGATATCTACCTGCCTAGGAGCTCATGCGACTGTATTTCAAGCGAAAATTCACGCTATTGAATTTTGTGCGGAGATATTGGATAAATCCAACCTCACACACAAATCAATATAAATATTCTCGGAGAGTGAAGCGGCGTTGGTAGCTCTTGGCTCCTACCGAGCAACATCTGAATTGGTAAAAAGACTCTCCCAGATAGGAAGACTTGACAGATTGTCTCTGGTCTGGATTCCTGGCCATACTGGCCTGAAAGGCAATGAAGCTGCTGAATCCCTTGCAAAGGAGGGTGCTGCAAACGGCTTCATCGGACCAAAACCTGTTATCGGCATCGCCTTAGCTTTGTCAAAAAAACATTGAACACCTGGATGACAAGAAGATTTACGGACTTCTGGCAGAATCTCCCAGGATTGGCTCACTTCAAGGCGTTTATTTACCCTTCGAAGNGTGAGGCCGCACAAGAGCACGGTATAGCTGAAGAAGTGTGGATGGAGCTGCACCCCACCAGGTCCTACAAAGAGACCGCAATAGGTTGATGCCTTGTTGGGCTTTCCTACTAATCATCTGAACATGCGGTTTCCACGATAATCGATCGTCAAAAATGACACCTAAGTATTTAATTTGAGAGCACCATGGAATTGGTGTATGATTTATATACACCGACCGCCGGCACAAGATAGACCTGCGCCTGTCCCGAAAAGTAATGGCGTGACATTTAGTAAGCGTCTTTGATGTGCTAGGAGACTCGACACCCAGAGGTAAACATTTTTCATAACCGTGTTACCCTTACAATTCAGTTAATTTTCGATCACGACTTAATCTTTCATATCATTGCTTTCTGGAGGTTTTTTTCTGTGCTATATCGCTGCTTGTTGTCAAGCAGGAAAGGTGGAAAATTTCCTCTGAACCTTCATATGAGATACAAGGTGGCTTATTCAATGAAATGGCGAACGGAGCTGTTAGTTGAAAGAAAAACTTCATCCATTGAATGTATTCAAGAGCAAGGATCACGGATGAGAACCTCGTAGAGGAGATTTTTTTTTTCAATTTTCGATTCTTTCACTTATTTTTATTACGAAAGCAATAATAATAATT